GATGTACGCCGCAACAACGCACGGTAGAGCGACCACAGCCTGCATTGATACCACCACCATCCTGTCGGAACCCTGGTCGACGGGAGCGGGGATGTTGTCCATTCTGTCTGGAAACTCTATGCCTCTCCTCCCATGCACAGCTTGCGCAAGAATCTTTTGCGTCTGGGCCCCGCACTTCCCAAGTTACTGCATTGTCCTATGTACACGTCCCCTCACTTGCGGACGAAAGGCAGACATCAACGCATCAGCATTCAAAGGGATATTAAATCGAAGCGAGATGATCGGGCAGCTGCGGCCCGCTCAGTGGCATAGGTAGAAGTTTATATCAGAGGAGGCAACATTTGCCACAATATATCCTTTCGCTTTCCGTTAGACATTCGCCTCGGTCGGCTGGAGACAGCAATCAGATGCCCCCAAATACAAGACTTAAGGAGTCCCGAAATTGCGAATTTATTCCGTATCGATAACGTTTTCTGATTCTATGACCTGCGGATTTGAAAGGGAAGTAGACAAAATTCTATGAGGTGCAAAGTGTGCACATGACACTATATCGAATATTGGCTGATGCAGATTTACCAAAGATCACGAAAGGAGTGCTCAGCAAGTTTGATTACACCGGAAATCCCAAGACTGCTCACATTATGAACTCCGTTCCTGCACCCGCTAATTTGGGAGCCATACAAGGCACCAGCGTCCCAGCTGTGATCGCAGCTGTTACCTTGCTGTTGCAGGTAACCGATCCGTCGAAGACGTCATTTTGGCCGATTGTGAGGATGGTATTCTCTTGGAGGAGCGCAAATAGAGTGTTCAATTCTTGGATGTAAGCCTCTGGCTTCTTTGCAGCGTACTTCTTGAAGTCACCCAGATCCTTGGCAGTCTTGGCATGTTTGTGAAGAGTCGCGTTAAGCTCGTTCCAGGTGGCAATCGGTAGTCGGTCCAGAACGCCGTCTTCGCTGGCCTGTCTGTAACTCTGAAGAGTGGTGTTGAACTCCTTGTACCATTAAGTGTTGATTGTACTGAGTTTGCTCTTGTACTCGTTGATGGCCTTGGAATCAATCGCGGAAGGTGCGTACAAGCCTTGTGCAAACAATCACGACGTCCCTGCCCACTGTACAAATGTTTGATGCAGATAGCATAAAGCCACCTCCACTGCTAGTATCAAATCCGGACTCCACCCTTAGCACGGCATTCTACTCGCACATGTTGATTCAACCCCGAACTGTTCACGGGTAGCTCCTTCGCCTCTGTCGTGAAAACAGCCCTTATCGGAAGACGTTGACCTCTTCACTTTGCTTACGCCGACGCTGCACACTTTAACGCTCTGGAACCCACCGAACTTCTTGCATCGAGGATCGCCAAGCAGGAGAGCTGGTCGGACTTCACTTCGAAACTAGAGCCACGGAACTGCTGCGGAAATGTGAGTTGACTGCTGATACTAGCAGACTCTGCTTTTCGTACTCTGGGATCCAATGCCGAAACTGCTGGTGCTTGTTGAGAACAAACACGTAGAATTCCATGAAATCAAGGAAACAAAAAGTAGGAATTTAACCCCTGGCTGAACGCCTACATCGACTGCCTACGGGTGGACAGAATATGCACGAGCTTCTTCACATTGCAGTGGGAGTCACCTAAGCAAACAACAATTTGCTCTGAGCTATTCTCAAGGCCGAATCCTTCTACCTTTTCTCAACACCGAATTCGCCATGTACACACAACGTCGACGCTCTGCGATCGATCCCACCGACCGACTCCCTTCCTCCCTCGCCTCACGAATCATTCCATCAATCCGGCAGTTCTTCGAGTAAAAGTAATGTCGAAACACGAATACACAAAGAGTCGAGCCAAACTCACTACTCGTGAGTAGACTAAAAGTCGAAGCTAAGGGGAAAAACCCCGACGCGTAAGGCTCAACTCGAAGAACTGACAGTTCTTCGAGTTCGCCACGAATATAAACCTGCAAGGTGTTGACTCCATCCAACGCTCCTCGCCCGTCTGCCGCGGCCCAACGTTAGCCGCCTCCCAACGTTCCCCGACTCCAACTCAAACTCAACGTGTCTCAACTCAAACCGACCCAACGTCTCGAGCCATGACAACTTCTATCACTCACGTCTCATTGGTGCACGTTGCCATTGCAAAGCTAGAGTTGCATCTTTTTCTCCAAATCTTTGATTTCTCATCTCTTGTCTTTGAACTTCAATAAGACGTTTGGAGATAAGATTTTGAAAGGAATGAATCTTTTTCAAAGCACCAATAGCTTGAATAATTACTTTGTAAGATTGTGGCAATCCATTTAAAACGATTGAAGTCATACTCTTGTCAGCGTTTACCATTGACAACAACTTGTACTTCAACTTCCTTGCTCTCTAGATGTATTGTATAATGGATACTCCCTCCATCATCTTGAGTGAGTGTAGTTGCTAGTACAAGAGAAATATTTGTCTTTGATCACCCGATTAGAGATTCTCTCCAACATTTGCCAAACATCAGTCGGATCATCTTTCTCAGACACTTAATCCACAAGATTATCACTTGAAGACATTATAATTTCCGCATGTGCTCTGTTCTTTAGTTTGATCAGTTGGATCTCAACAAGTATGCCATTTACTATGACAGGTGAACTCCTCACTGTCTTGATTTTTTTCCTCGTATCCGAGAGACTCCATGCAACATGTGAAGGCGCCGGAGACGAGTCGTTAGTTCTTCTAAAGTTAATCTCTTCCAGATTGCAAGTTGCCAGGGCTGGTAAAATTGATACTCCGAGATAAATTTATGGTTCATACTAGTTCTCAGGTTACCAATAAACTCTGGGGTCCAACACATCTCTCCAGTAGAAATAAGTCAAATTAAGAACGAATGAAGAACAAGAGGAAGAGAAATTTGTAATTTCTGTCACAGTTCAGATGGAAGAGTTTGAAAAACCTTGTAAGGTTGGTTATTGGTGCAGAAATTTGTAGAAGTTGTTTGTTGATTCTCAAAGCTCACGGCGTTTGGCTAGCAATGGTTACCATCTCGCTTTCAAAAGTTGGAAGTGTTCTCTGACGAGCCAGCCAATGACATGGATCCAATCGTCGTCGGCCTTTTTCGACGCCTCAATTGTCAGGTAACTCGAGCTGAGTGGCCTCCGTCATTGCCCTCAGATATATGTTGAAAGTAAGAGCTGAAGTTGATGTTAAATAAGTGAGAGAAGAATCCCTTAAGTAGCAAAGGTGATAAGGATGATCAAGAACAATGACCGTCAGTATAAGAGCCTACAAAGAAAGATAAGAAGACAAAGAATATCTAACACAAGATTATTCTAATCTCATCACTACACTACAATCAATAACTAAATACTAACTACATCCCCTCTCGAGGTTACTAGCGGAAAATTCTAAGGGCAGAGCATTGGATTCTAATGTTATAAAATGACAGCTTAAATGTTGGATAACGAGCATACTCCAATAGATTTTCTATGTTTTTCAAATTTATGTCTTGGTAGTGACTTGGTGACTAAGTCTGTAGGGTTTTCCTCAGTGTGAATTTACTTGAGATCAATTTTCTCCTCTAACACTCTTTCCCTAATAAAGTGGTGTTTGACTTTGATGTGCTTGGTTTTGGCGTGGAACACAGGGTTTTTGGCTAGCTTAATAGCACTTTGATTGTTGCAAAATAGGTGTAAATCTGCAATGATTGGCATCGCTGCATCTCTTAATATCTGAGCTATGGTAGAATCAGGGCAAGAAATTGGAACCTTCAGAGAAGAAAGGATTTCTAATTCTTGTATTAACCTCTTGAGGTACACAGCCGCTTTGCCCCCTTCTAATAAGGCCTTGTATTCAACTTTAGTTGTGCTATCAGAAACTGTGGGTTGTTGCTTCGATGACCAAGATATTGGTCCGCTTGCATGCTTAAAAATATAAGCTCCAACAGATAGATGGATGTTAGTACAGCTAAGGTAATGTGCATCAGTATAGCCTTGAATATGTGGTTTTCCTTTCTGGTAAAGTAAACTATAGTTCACACTGACATTGAGGAATCGGAGAAGATGTTGAACTGCATCTGAATGAGCCATTTGTGATTTATGCATAAACCGAATAGAAGTTCAACAGCATACAAAATATCAGTGCAAGTGTGAAAACAAAAGATAAGCTTACCAACAAGGTGACAATATTTTGAGCTATCAACATGTGGAGTATTTGTATCTGACTCGAGAACAAGTTCAAACGGAAGCGGAAATGATTCAATGAGGGATGTGTCCGAGTTGCACTCATTGAGTAAGTCTGTGGTATAGTTGGTTTGATGCATAAAAATCTCGCCAGTATTGGTTTGCACGATGTCCACCCTAGAGATACCGAGATCTTAGGTTGGTGTATGATCTCATTCCAACAATCCTTGGTGCTAAGGATTGTTTTGAGGCAAATAGACCAATTGAGATAGTTCTCACGCTTGGAAAGTTTCGTAGATTTAGAAAAATTCAAAACTTTGTCCATTGCTAGCTAAGATCCTAGAACAACAAGTTCTCTTCTAACATAAATGCATCTGCTTACTGAAATGAACAAGACCGGCAAATATCTAATCTTAGGTTGCTAGCACGAGAGAGTTCGCTCTAATATCATGTTGAAAGTAAGAACTCAACTCGAGGTTAGATAAGTGAGAGAAGAAACCCTTAAGGAGGAAAGATAGAGTTAAGTGGGAGCAAAGGTGGTGAAGGATAGTGGAGAACATCGACCTTGAGTATACCAGCCTACAAAGAAAATCTAACACAAGATTATACTAATAACTAAATACTAACAACAATATAAAGTTTGAAAAGCACATCAGGGGTAGAAGGCTCAGTCAGAACTCGACCTGAGCTCATCACCTTCATTCTCGAACACGAGCGGATGCATCAGGAGCCGCTGGCCTCTTTGGTGATCCAGCCGACGTTAGGTGACTTCGAGAAGACCATATGGGCAGATGGCTGTCGATCTACAAGTCATATTGACTAGCACGTCCATCATCAACTCTGTATCTCTGTGGGAGAACGATAACCCTCGATTCCGCGCCAGCACGTCGAGCACTTTTTGGGTCAGTAGAAGGACCGTTTCCATCGGGGAGTTTCACGATGAAGAGAAGATCTGGGAGGCTGAAGACTACGCTCACTTGCAGGAGAAGCGCTACAAGTACCCAGCGACGTGATCTCTCGTGGAGAACGAACTGTTCGTCCGCGAGTTTCGGTCCACTGACTCCGAGGTTGCAAGTCATCCGGCGTTCGTTCGTCTGTCCGAAACTGAAGCTTTCCGCATGCGGTTGGGATGCAGAGTATTCTCGAAAGCAGAGCATCAGCGAGTGCTGGATGTGCGTCTTTCCACTAAGAGACGGTGGTTACGAATGGGACCGGCACAGCATTCAAATGATTTTCCCGATTCCAGCCTATGTCCGACGATCCCGAATACGACGGCACAGAGAAACAGGTATATCTAGTAAGTGGTATAATGCTTACTTTCAGGAAATATATCTGTGGGTTTTGGAACAGGTCCATTAGATAGTTTTATGATAAATTTCGTCTGCCGATTGAATAAGAGGGTTTTGTACTTAAGGCTAATCACGAAACATAGAAGTGGACAAGTCGAATCAACAAAAAGAAATGAAAATCTAAAGGTTGCAGGGCGTTGACAGCAACCAGCTCTGACAAGCAATCACTTCACAACTCCAGCTCTTACAAGGGATTGACTGTCCCACGAGACCTTAACCAGCCGAGAATTCTCGGGTATCCTTGAATCAATCTTGTCATCCTGACTTCATTCAAAAGCAGAGTACTGTCTTTGATCATGCAAGAGCAAAATGCTTCCCAATTTCCCGTATGTCTGTGAAGCGAAGGGGCAGGCAAGAAAGATTAAATTGACCTCCTCGAGGCAAGGTACAGATCTAGCAGTTGGGCAATCACAGTATCCGCCCTAAGAAATCAGCGACAGTTTTCAGTGCAGATTGTTCGTCCTCAGAAAAGGGATCTGGGACATCACTATCGATGTCAATCTGACCCAGAATTTCACCACCTTTGCGGATCAAAACTACGAGCTCACTTCTGGTGAAGCGATTGCAGGCAATGTAGTTCTCACGAACCCTAACATCGGGCACATTTTGGTCCTTTCCTTCCGCCACTGCGGTACCACAGACTCCGTGCCCTACTTTGATTCTGTCGTGCTCAGTCTCCCGGCCCGAAAATGCCTCCAGCCGCAACTCGTCTCCGTGAAGCATGTACAGATACACAGATGTGTAAGGCTCGCCTGCGCCTCTCACTTGATCGGCCGTCAGCTGCAACAACGCGTTTCTCTCGAGATCCTTCGCCCTCGTCTCCAGGAAGTCGACGACTTTGGCAGGCTGAAGAACTGTCATCTCAACCCCGCGAGCGATGACGGACACCCTCCTCCCTCCTCCAGCACCGGAACCCAATTCCAAAGCGTGCCGTCGCCGTCACCACCGAACGAACAATTCCTTGCTCGAGCCGATCGATGCCCCTGTGACAATCGCGTGGTTCAAGCGGAGGTCTGAAATTGCGGGCTCTCGTCCGGCAGATGCTCGTGGCTGCGATTCGATGTCGGGACAGCCTCTCGGGTTGGTGAGATGGACGTCAGGACAGAAGTCTCGTGCTGTTGACTCCAATGTGCCTTCGAGCTCGGAGAATCGTGCCGTGGGACCCAAAGCTTCAAGACAAGAGGGTGAGGTCAGCGGCCGAGAATGGCGGGGCAGAAGGCAGCCTGCTCTGGAAAGGCGGCCAATCGCCATCGGAGAAAGAAGGCCATGCGCCCATGCGCAGCAGTTAAAAAGGTATGGCTCTTCGTGGTTGATAGAAACAGACGCATTTGATTGAGGTGTTATGTGGTACGAATCAGGATTCAGAATTGCGTGAGCTTTTCCGTGAGATTGATAGATCCAGCTCCATATCCACAGTTCGACCCCCGAGACGTCCTAAGCCTCACATATCTCACAAGCATCACTTACTTCATCTGCCTCGATGCTCTGCGAACAGGGGGGGAAACGACATCTTGCTCGAGATCTCACTCAAGAACATCCGACAAACTCAGCAGCACGACATCGTTCGACATCGCCAACTTCAAACTTTCTTCGGATTTCTGCCTTCTTCATCCCCACACGACAGTTTCCTGCCGCCCACCTTCGTGGTAACGAAGTCTAGGGTTTGGCCGAAGATGAAAGCTCGCGAGGAGGATAATTCTGTCACACGACTGAGAAAATGCGAGCCTGTCATGCATCGAAGCCGACTGATCGACGGACCGACTCTCGTTTCTTCATCATCAGAGTGCAAGTCTCTGAAATGTTTGCGCTCATTCGACAACATGCCTGTCAGACAGACAAAGCTTCTTCGTGTTACAAGTAATATACAACAATCAGAGGTGTGAAAGGAAAGCAGAGCCTCATCCGATGCTCTCGGACTTGAATCCTAAATAGCTTGAGCTTCTTACATACAGGGCTCCTCCTAAGAATCAGTCGACATTCAGTCTGCATGCATGTCTAACAGGGCCTCCGATCCAACTCCTGGAACCAACCATCCATGGCTCAGAACGTCATTCGAGGTGTCAATCCCAATCCCAATCGCAATTCTAATCCCCGATGATCACCGAGCACGAATTTGGCTCCATGAACTCGTGGAGATTTTCCCTCAAGGCTGATAAGCGACATTGTGGCCGTAACCGGCAGGTCCGGTGGGCTGGAAGGCGATCGGAGGCGTAGTGTTATACGGGGCCGGCTGGTACGGCAGCTGCTGATGGACGACCGGATAACGGGGCTGCTGCAAAGGAGGAGGAGGAGGAGGAGGGTAGGGAGCAGGCATGGGGATGCCGGTGACAGGGAGGGAGGAAGCAGCGGGAGGGCGTCGAGAAGCCCCGAGAGGTCCACAGCAGCACCCGAAGACGCAGCAGTAGGTGCTCCAGAGAAGGCCCGCGAGGATGGCGTCGAGGCCAATCAGCACGAAGAAACCCCAATCCACGAAGATGCCGATGAATAAGAAGACGATCGCCGCCATGACCATCAGGCTGAAAATCAGGTGGTACACGACTTTGCACGCGAACCTGTTGCTGCATCCTCCTCCTCCTCCTGCTGCATCCTCCGCGTCGCTCGCCGCAGGTGTGCCATGACGCACCGGTGCCGGAGCTCTGGAACCCATTCCCATATCCACAGCTCTCGCTTCGATTCCACTCGACTCGATCGCCCTCGCTCAGATTTTCCTTCTCGCAAGCCTCGAGCTCGTCGCGCTCTCGTCGGACGTCCAGATCAGTGAGAGAGGGGCACTGAAGCCCAGCAGCCTTCGACACCGAGGGTCAACTCGAGCCCTGCTCCGGTCAAAGCAGTGGACCGGCATCGCGGTACACGTGACGCCGTCAACGGGCTCGAGAGCCCGGACAGGTGTTCAGAGCCTGTCCTGTTTTGGGGTCCAGGTGGTGTACCGCCTGAACAGGTCAACTGCCACCGGTCGGCAAACTTTGGGTCCATCAATTTGCCTTCCTTCGAAAGCTCCACCGGCGATGACCAGTGGGCTCACATTCCAAAAACCTTGTGGGTCACAATTGGAACTCGTTGCCGAGAATTTATTCTTTTCTGTCATCTGGAGGCGGGCAAAATATCGTATTTCGTGATGGTGTCCCTTGTCTGTCAGCTGTCCCATTAATTCATAGGGTTTCTACTGGTTGGCACAATCAGGTTTAAAAAGAATTTTTCTAAAAGTTTCATGATCATTTAGTGGTATGAAATTAGGATATAGATTTTAAAACGGGTTTGAAAGGACTCCGCTGTTGCAGACGAGATACTTCACTAGTGTAGAAATTATTGAAATGGAATTATCTTAATCCTTTACTAGTGCAAAAGTTATTGAAATGGAAGTTATCGAAGTCCTTGTAAATCTACCAAATTGCAATGCTGAATGTTACTAGCTATTTGTTACTGCACTGATTAGTTTACTACACCCTGAACCCTATTCTGATTAAAACCATTGTTGAAATCAGGTTTTTTAATTAGACCGAAATTATTTTCAGTAAAGGGGATTTTTCTACCCCTGGTTTCTACCCTTGGAGCACGCGACTTGGTTCTTGCATGCCTCAGCCCTACTTTGGATGAAATATCTCAATGGGATATTACAGTATATCCAAGTGCACACTATCCTCGCTCTCAAGTTTTAGGCTCGCCTTTGTTGAGGACTGTATATAACTTTTCTTTAAATTTCGTTCATGTGATCTCTATCTCTTTTCGTAGGGAATATTTTCGTATACTTGTTCGCTACCTACGTCTTATCGTTACAACTTATACTTCTCACCAAAAGGCACACAATAAGAACATATTCTAACTAGTTATTATTTGCTTTAGCTAAATTTAAAGCTTTCCAAATTTTATGTGATATCCTACGTCATCCTAACCTTTCCCGATCATCCGTACACCATTGCTACTTCTTTCAAAGCAAAATTCATATAGAATGGAAACATCCCATCTAATCCTACAAGGACTAAGCTAAACGGGTGATTGATCTAGATGTTAGATTCCAATAATAAACATGCACACAAATTACTTGGTATCTAATTTGATCTTTGTGAGAGAGTGAACATAAAAATTTTTTAGTTTAGTCCAAAGAAGTTTATTTTTTTAGAGAAAAAATTAAGCAATGTTACAGTCAAGAAATCAATCACGATAGGTTAGATTGATGCAACTCATAAATCAAAATATCTTAGATATAATAAATTATATGTTTATTAGGATATTTTGGACATATATATTGTTATGTTCTTGATTTTTAGCATGAATTCTTTTTCCATGGAATCAACTCTAAGTTAATCAGATACCATTTTCGAAGACCGCAGTTGAGCCAAAAGGTTAGATCGACGAAAAATCTTCACTGTACATTTTCAAATGCTTGGAACCCGAACGAGGCTTACGATCTAATACAAGGATTAAACTGTGTACGGATTGGAACCTTTATTATTAAACTTGGTGACACCTAAGTTTACCCACAACTCACTCATTGCATCGTCCTGAGACTGAGGGTACTGATGAACACAAGAAATTTACGTTACTCTCGCTGAAATTCGCGCATCGCATTTATTCAAATATGACCTAGTAAATAGACATTCTATTCTAATTTATTTATTTATTCTAATTCCCATTTATGTCAGATATAAATATGACGCACACATGCTCATGGCCGCCAGCGGTCCTTCCCCTGAAATTCTCGCATCGAAACTATTTATCCGATTATTCGTGCTATCAGGACGATGACGATCGACGTCTTCCACCGTGCTCACGTTGACATTCCCCAGCGTCCCACAGTTCCAATTGGGAACGATGGCGTTGGCGTGGACTGTCAGTGAGGGATGACCTCATAAACCTCGACTATCGGTGCGAGCTTCTTTATATGACGACGGCCGTGAGCTTAGCTCGCTGGCTGCGAAACGAAGTCTCGGATCCTCTCGCAGTGGAGATAAACCTCATGTACCGAAAACTGCGGGAAATTAAATCAAAAGAATTGACAGCACTCGTCGACGATAACGTAACGAATCCAACTCCTACGAGCTGAGCACATCACAAACTGCAACCGAGTCTCGAAATCACTTGTGGCATTCATTGCTGGAAGAGCACCAAAGCATTCATTCCACCTCGTCGAACTCGTCAGCTACGGGTCGGATGTGGAATTGTCGAAGAAGATCCAGCTCGCGTCGTTCACCTTCTCGTACGTGTAGCCGAGGGCCTCGGTGTGAAGAACGTCGCGGACCCGGATCCGGCGCAGGACGGCGTTCTCATCCCACAGAAGAAACGCCGCATCGAGAAAGTCCGGGTCGGCGGGATCGACATTCGCCGGGCTCAGAGAGCGCCAGACCTTCCAGAGGCGCTCGACGTTGGCATGCATGATGTAGAAAATGGGGTCGAGCGGCGCAGTCTGGGTCTGGAACATGAACCCGCCGACCCAATTGTGCAGCGTGATGTGAGGCCACCACTCCAGAGTCCCGGCGCCATCGCTGGCGTCGAGAATCTGCGGGTCGCCGACTCTGCGCGGCCTGCCCACGAAGGCTACGACGTCGTGCACTTGCGCCACGGCTCGATGCATGATGCGCTTGTTGCCCCGGACGGCCTCCTCGACGGTGTAGTTGTGGAACACCGGCTGGCCCAGTCGCGGATCCGTCGACAGCAGGTCAAGATACACCGGGTTCGCGGGATCGAAGGCTCTGCTCGTGCGGTTTCTCTCGAAAGTCGGTGCCTCCAGGTCCGCGTACACGGGTGGCACGAAGTGACCGGCTTTGTAGCAGCCGTCGCCGTCGCCGTCGGCCTCCTCGCTGTTGTCGAAGTTCCAGAAGTGCAGCGAGAAGTCGGCGTCGTTCAGCAGCTTCTGCAGGATTCGCTCGTGGAAGTACACGAAGAGTCGGTGCCAGGGCAGGAAGAACCAGTTCAGATGAATGTCCATGGTCAGATTCGTCGAGCCGTCTTGGACGAAGGAGCCCGTCCCGTAGGCGCAGTGAATCTGATTTTGCCTCATGAACGATCGTGGATCGCTGTCCGGGAGAGCCCTCATCAGCGCGTACCCCTTGTACAGCTTCTGAGTGTAGATTTCAAGCTCCTCGCCCGCCAGACATTGCAGAGCTTTCCTGACTCTCAGAGGTTTCGACGGATGGAAGTCTGGTTTGAAATCCACTATTGGTCCTTCGATGGTTTTTGGTGGGCAGCACTCGACGGGAATATTGGCCCACGACCCAGGTCGGCACGCTGCGAAGGTTTCTCTGGTGATGGTGATGGGTGCTGATTGGACACTTGCAACTGCACCGAAGCAGCAAAGCAAAAACCTTATGGACAGCATCGTATTCTTCGACGCCACTCTCATGCTGTAAATACACGTGTGCACCAAAGTGTTGTTGGTTCCTTGGGACCAGGTGCAAAAATGGCAATTTTTCTCGATCAGCTCAGCTGCCAAGTGGACGTCTGTGGAAATCACCAGCAGATTACACAAGCGCATGTACACATATGCTTGATTTCCAAATAATCGGGTGTCGACAAAGCTGAGACTCCTTCCATCCTTCTCAGTACTTGGCCCGACGATTTTGAGCTTCTGCAGTCACGAAACAAACAGCTTGAATCTTCATGACAGCAGCATGACATCCGCACGACATGTAGAGTTGGACTTGTCCTAACAGAATGTAGTTGGACTTGTCCTAACAGAATGTAGAGAACAAGTTGTCTATCCGCAGCCACTTGCTGTAATCATGCACAACTTCCACTCTGTAACTACACCTCTAAGTGAGTGATCATCGCTACTCTTATGCATGTACAAAGTCGTACGAGATAAAGGGTACTCTTAGGGAAATTTGGAAACATCTTCTACATTTGCAGCTGAATTTGCAAGGTGAGTTACATACTGCATGGAACTGGTGCTGATTCAAACGTTATCAAAGTTCGGAGCCTTGAATTGTGCTCGCTTGAATTCTTCATGAACGTGGGCTTACCGTGCTGAAACCTCCGACCACGGTACTTACGTACTAATCAGAGTCTGACCAATGTATCTGAGAGCTGCTGTATCTGTCTCACTGCTGTGTAGGCTGAGCTCCATGGAGAGACATACACATTTCTGTGTAGCAGATACAAGAGAGTTGTGCTTTTGAAATCGACATGGAGCTCTCGTGCGCGTTTTAATAACAATCGGTGCATGTACTGTGTAAAACTGGAACAATAAAAGGTTCCGGTTCCAAACAGTCTCTTAAACCTTTTGGCATGTAGTCCCGAATTTCAATGCTGCTCCATCACATGCATCCGGATTATCGTATGGAATCGGTTGGTTCCAATGGTTGAAGCAGATTTTGTAGTATATTGTGTCTTTCAGGAGCGCGTACACGCACTAGAAATACTACAATATTCCGATGTATTGAGTCGGGCATAACATTTGCTTAGCCTGAGTCACCAAAAATCTATGTCTTATGGTTGGTTGGATTATTCGGGCATAACATTTGCTTAGCCTGAGTCAACAAAAATCTATGTGTTATGGTTGGTTGGGTTATTCTTCGCGCACTTCGAGAAGGTGGTCATTAACTCTGCACTCGGTGTGGATCCTTCAGGGAGAATTTATCGAACTATGTTTAAATTCATCTCATTGATATAATTAACTCCCCCATTCGTCGCCATTCAGAAAGAACTGTTTCAGGCAAGGTCCTCAGAAGCGACAAATTCTCTTCCTCTTTACTATACGTAAACTGATGGATGTTGGTGTTTGAAGGTACCATCGTACTCCTGGGTACAGTACTAAACCCCCAACTTTTGGGACTTATGTTTGTCGGGACTCGCGCTGAACCTCAACGCTACACCGTCGTTCCATACCGAGACTAACTTCGACTCCTCGCGTCTGGTCATTCAACAAAAGAAACTAGAATCTTTGAGATTTTAAGACAATCCCTTATGATTTGTGGCAGTTCTAGCGCTTAATGGCGTTAGCTACTAAGAGGAGGTGGAGGTAATTCACTGCAACGTTTTTCGAACATCAACGTATCAAAACACTTAATGAGTACAATTTAAGAGTCTCATAATCAGCTACTAGTATGTAAATCAAACCACTGCACTTTATGAATGCGTTATGAATGTTTAATGATAATACCTCCTCCTAGTGTATAATAAGAGGTTATATAATTCTGCAATTAAATTACCATTTAGATGGAAATGGAACCGATCACTTTTTAATATATCGGTTACTTCTAACATACAACACAGATCATGTCTACTCAGTCAAACGCTCATGTCACTTCTATCTTCCTCTTAGATCCTAGCGGCGCTCAATGGATGTTACGTGTGTAAGCTACTACAGTGCTCATAAATACCAATGTCTTGAAAAGCTGTAACATTAGCCGCAGACCAGTAGCTACAGAGATTATTTCGTTGAAATGCTGTCGTTGAAATAGCCTAAAAGGTGGAAAAAAATACATTTCAAATGAAAAGCGGTTCCCCCCTTCGATTGATCTGTTTTTCTTTTACTCATGTATAGCCAGTTTAGCTAGTGGAGGGTGTAAGTATTCTGAGCATGGAGCAACCTATCCAAACCAAACGTAAAACATTAAACATGATGAGAAAACCCTGCAGATCATAACAGATTTGTCAGGGAAAATTTATTCCAGATTCCCAGTGGACTGCAGTGCTGTGCTGTAGTTAGTCACAGTCATGCCTGAATTGCAGATGAAATTGCAGTTGAAACTAGCAACGATCATTCAAAACGCTCTAGGTCTGACTGGCAACTCCTGATGAAGGTTATTCGAGTACCATTCCGAAGGATAATACTAGATTCCCCTCACGACTCAGACTTCACGACTTCACCAACTCTTAAGAACATGATCCTAGCTTTGAGCTGTTTGAAAATTTCCTAGAAGTAAACCTCTGTCACCTGGGACTATGTGAAATCGCGTCATCAAATGTGTGCGTGGATTAGAATAAACTATGACCTTAGGTGTGCCTCAAGATTCTCTTCGAAAAGGAAACTCTCCTAAATCCGCCGGCCTAAAAGGCACGAAGACCAGAGATGACCAGGAGAATATTGTGCAGCAGGAGGCCTGAAGGACTCCCTTTCATACCAGTTTATATACTTTGTTCTTTGAAACTGTAACCCGCACATCTACCAATTTTTGTACTAAGTCAGCATCAAGACCCTGTTCCACGGTGTGAAGTTGGTCCGGAAGTCAGCAAAAAGACCTTGTTTCATGGTGTGAGGTCAACACCCCCGAATCACAGAATTGTGATCTGAGAGGCTTAATCTCATTGTCGTTTCCTGGAGACTCGACGCTGCAAATGAGTTCAGGCATTTTCAATTATAATTGTGACCTTCGATTCCAATCCACGACGGCTGCATTACGAGTGTACACTCCTCGATGGCATATTTTGGGGCCGGGCAAACTTACAAACATCTATCCCAACACGCTCCACTCCTTGGCTTTTCACACCATTTCAAAGGAGGGCCACCGTCTGTGCTTGTGTTCGCGTCAGTGGCACTTCCACAGAAGCGTCCAACATAATCCCGCATCTTTAGGTCTCTTATTAATTCAATTCATCAATTTTGATAAAGAGTGGGTTTTATGTGGATTAAACCAGAGTATAACATGAATATAGTATCCAGTAGTTTCTCATTGCAAATATGTATTTTAGCACTTTAAGTATAAAATACTTACATATATTCACTTTGGCAATAAATTGGTGATTGTAATATAACATCAGAATACGAATGACAATTAAACAAAATTTACTTAGTTGATATAAAATGATTCTTAAATCCACACTCTACGACATGAACCTGTATCTTTATAGTTTATCTGTCGCTCGGGTTTTGATATAATATTAATATCATAATCTACTATTTAATTTGAAAATATATATAGATCGTTCGACTCAGATATTTTATTCTAGAAATAGTAAAATACCTTTTTGCATTGAAAAGCTATTGAAACCTAGGTTCATGCACGTCCGATTCATGTGACGGAATTTTCATTCTTCATTCTCCGATGTTTCCTCAAATGCACGTCCCCAATCACCATTGCTTTTCTCAGTAGATCAAACAACCGAGATGGAAAAAGTTCCTTCACACTGTATCTACGTGTTGACTGTACCTCGCAGTTATATGCAAAGGACATGAGATCTGATATTATGTGCCCCCGATGGATAGAGTGAGAAGGATTTCTTTCACCTATCGCTTCAGTTTTGGAATTCTTCAAAGCTTCGATTGTGAGTGTAGATTCCAGATGTATTATAAATGCTTCCACGTACTACAACACTCACGAACTCTTCGTAGTCTGTCTGTAACTTCAAAATTCTGAACATTATTCTTTAGTGAAGGTCGTGATCAAGGTCCACCAAGTACACACAACAACAAAGATATCACAAAGTTCCATATTGTGGTGCTCGTGTTCCTGGAAACCCCTTCTACAGCACAATTCTGTAGAAGAGGCTCATGGCACTACTAGCCGTCCATAGACTCCACACGTGCTGGCCAATGTTTTGTAAAATCTTCAGCAAATGAAGTTTCGGGCCGAAGTGCGTGCATACTATAAACGAAGGGTTCTGCGACTCGAAGAATTGCAGAACCCGCGAATGTGAACCTCGCAGTTCCAGCAGAAAGTGCGCACGGGTTTGTCAGTTCATCCTAGATCGCGAAAGGTTCTCTAAGGTTGAGAAATTCCAAGTCTTTGGATATCTGTAGCGTGATCCCGCTTCCATTGAACACAATCCACTGAACGTGGTGCATGAGGTGAAGTAGGTCCGCCAGAGAATGTGAAGGGATTCAGAAAATCACAACCATGCTATGTCTGCATGAGCTGTATTACGCTATGATGGGCCATGGAATCGAGATTCTGGGTCTCCTTTGCGTAATATACACTATATTACAGCATCACAGTTGAACACAAGTGGGCTTCATCCCACCCATTTTGTAGCTTTAATCTGCAGTTAATTGTTCTTCTTCCCTCGGAGAATGCTGCAGACCTTATGAATTCATGTCTTCGTCAGACTAATTCGTTCCACTAGATGACGTGAAGTTCTTCCATGGAAACGAGGCGGGCCCCGGTTGCACACACCAACCAGTTCAACTTTTCAAGGGACCCAGTTGGATCTGCGTCCAAATCCGTGAAGTTGATTTGTAGAGTCACAGAATGTGCTCGGGCTGACTTGGGATCTGGGTGCCTCACGGTTGGTGAGGCACCCAGATTAGATGTTGTTTCCGAGAAATGCAAATGGTGATCCATGCAGGAGAAGGTCTTCTTCCCAGGACTTGTATCGCTCGAATTCCCACTTCCAACATTCTGTTGAAACACCAAACATCAGTTGCTCCTTCCCAAATTATCAGGAATACTGAATCTCATGCATGGAATATCACCGGCAGCTGCTCATCGGTGGTTCGTTCGTATGTCAAACAGACTGGACAAACCACACCACCACACCAAATATTTCTAGAGTTTCAATGGCTGGTCCACAATTCCTCTTAATTGCTGTTTAAAATAATAATAATATCAACAAATAAAAACTTTAACATCCACTGAATATATAGTTGAGATATTTATTTCTTTTCAGGGAATGGGATGACCCGAGACAGGGCCAGACAATTCTCTTCACTTTATTACGCGCACCAAGCACGGCATAGAAGAAATACTGCACCACCAGAGCAAAGGGTGCCGAAGGGATGGACCCGAAGAGAGCGCAGGTCCCAGAGGAGAATTCATTTAATCATACCGAACTGCAATCTTGTTTTGAGCTGTTACCCAGTAGACCCGGCAACCGCGAGACCATATTCGCACCGTGTCCACCAACCAACCACGTTGGTGGCCAAGTGGGCGCCGTTGCAGTGGGCTTGTCGTTATAACCGACTGGTCGCAGCTTCTCCGAATATTCTAGAATCTTGTCTTTCTATTCTTCCGCTTTGGCATTTTCCAGGGGCCATTATTGCACTGGCGGGCCCTTCGCGCCCGCGATTTGCAGAGCTCGGGATCTATTGTATGGTTCATTTATTTATTGATTTATTGCTCGAAGGAGGACTCGCTGAGCCTTCCTTCCATGGCGCCTGGTCTACCGATTTGCCCCTTGGCCAGCGTGGACTGCCTGCCGGACCACGTCACTGGCCAAGTGTCCTCCCGCATCTCCCCGTGGACCATGTTTCGCTCTGCCTGACATTTCTATTCGTTGCGACGTCTTGGAACCCATAATGCGTATCGACGATCTTTGATTCTGCCATCTCGATGTCCCCTTCATAATATGTCAAAAATATTTCGTTGATTCAGAATTTAAGAAAGTCATTCAGAGATACGTCAAACGACTAATTAGTATCAATTGATTGTTAACGTGGGTTTCGCCATAATGCAGTAGTGCCCTTACGTCATACCTCTTTAAAAGTGGCATTTGTCACCTTTTTGGTAATTGTGGCACCCAAGATTTCTTTAAAGTGGCATTTGTGATAAAATATATGTGGCAGTCTTGAAACCATAAGAGATTGAGATTATTTCACGAGAAATGCAAGCCGTGTTGTTTCTACGTTGTGTCTAACTTAGGTTCCGCCCTCATGTTATGTTCATGGAACAGCTATAGCCATCGAAAACTAACAAGAATTTAGAAGAGTACATGAATAGGTCGCATGATTATTCACCGTGAGAATACTCAAAGCACATAGAGCTAGCACTTTGAGAACAAATTTATTCAATGTTCTTGATACTAACCGTATTAGACTTCAACTGTTTTCTTATGGTTAGGACCATAAGAAAACACCGGAATAGATCAATGTGACTTGTCGCAGTCCATTCGATAAATACACGTCACCGAAGTACGGGAGCCCATGTTCTCTTTGTTCCTTACAATCAGTTGTTGGGCTTAATCAAGTAATTTTCTCGACCTAATGTTGTTAGCTTTAAGAATGACGGAGGAGCTTTGAAGTATCTGAATGCATCGGGAGTGTCATTGGGATTTGTTTTCATACGTTTACACTTTGACAAACCTAGAGAGAGAGTTTAAATTGGATTACCTTTGTTTTGAAATTCACGACCATGCACGAATTACAAAGAAATTGTAATGTTTTTACTCGAATTCAATGCAGGTGTGTCGGTATCTTCTATCTGATTAATTCCTTCCTTGGTTTCGTTGTGATCTACTAAGAATCTTGTGCACACCTCCGAATAATTATTTTTTATCTTCGGTTAGTTGTAAAAGATAATAGTTACCATTCCACGTGACTGAGATGGTAAGTAGATCACACGGTTGTAGTTTTACTAGTGATAAGGGATACATAACAAGATTGAGCATCTATCGATTTATCTAGATCTTTGTGCTGGTTACAGTTTATCGTGGAGGCTTTTTAAATTATCATACATTCATCACAAGAAGTTAATGACATCAATAATTTTTACAATAGGGTTGTGTAGAATATTACTTTTGTAGGTCAAAGTGACTGTGAATTCAAAATATGTCAATGAAGAGATTACTTTTCATTACTCATGAGATATCAAAATATTGACATAATTCTGATATGTAATACATTAGATTTTATCAACCAAGGATACAATGTAATCCACAAAATATATTGTTGACTAAATAACTTGTTTGAACAAAGTACAACTAACAGAATTCAAAAAGTAATACATGGTTTTAGTTTGTTGTTGTTAACTGATTTGAAATTTTGTTTTGTGATACGTCTAATGTTTTTTTATGATAATTTTATTCACATTTTTTGAGTGTATGAGGCTTTTCAGAACTTAAGATGATTATTGAAATTTATCAAGGATATTTTCAAAAAATATTTTATAATAAATATGATCATTATTAATTTTTTATGTTTTATATAAATGTATGAATAAATCACACGATTTTTATTTGTATTTTTTATTTAATAAATATTGTATCAGTTATGATAGATTTAGATATTTCTGTTGAAAACCTAATATTTTTATCTGAATTCATAATCACTTAAAAAGATATACTCTAGATATATAGATTTAGTCATTAGAAAAAAGAGCATTTAAAAATAGTGTAAACGTGAAACTAATTCAAAGCACAAATTTTTTTTAAATTAAAACACTGACTTATGTGTAGATTTTTTAGTTCCGAGAATTGAATATTGGCACATGTTCATATTCAATTTGAAAGTTTTTTAGCAATTTCAAACATTACAATAAGAATATGTTATGAGAAAAAGTGAATCAGAAGAAGCTAAAAAATGTATTTTTATCTTTTTTTTAATGAGATATATGTGGATATTCATAGCAAAACGATGTCCATGAAACATACTCTAATTTTACTTTTTTCATATTTCATGTTGGATGTAATCTGTTGTTTTACATTGCAAAAAAGTTTTTTATGTTTTTAGCAAAAATGTTACATCTTTTGTTTGCGATTATAAAAAAATTATACAATGTATGTAACAAAAGATTTTGATATATTACTATATCATCTAGATGTAATACTACTCATAGAATAGAAAATTTACCACATGAATTACAAAATGAGCTCTTATCATTTAATTTTTATAGTAAATCATGTTCAGAAAATTCAATTTATTCTAATAAATCCGAATTTTGAGCACTCTCATAATACAAATTTAACCAAATTTTCATAATAAGAATTCGATCTTGCATTTGTTCAAGCAATGACTACTTTTAAATTTTAGATTTTTTAAAATTAGATGCTTTTACTGGTAAAAAAATCAATCCAAATTGTTTCAGTAATATGAGTTGTAGAATATGTTGCTTATCATGATACTTTGAAATATAGCTTTTTTTTTCCTTGATCTATTTGATGATGTTTGATCATTTTTTTGCTATTTATTTTACTGCTAATGATATTCAATTGAATTATAAATATTTTTTAATAAAAAAAATTAATTATTATTTTATATATATCTTAAAAAGAAGTAGTTAATTTTTCCTATTAATTCATAGATGAAAATTTTAAAATTAAAATAAAAATAATTTACCCAAAAATAATTTAAAACAAAGTTTCATGAGTTCATTTAATTTAACTACTCTAATAACTTGGATAATATTTAGTTGAATTAAAATATGAAATTCCTAATGATTTCATAACTCATTAGAAAATTGAAGTGATTTTTTTTTAAATGTCTTGTTCAATTCTAATCTTGTTATTTTAGTTTTGTATTTTGTTGCATACTTAATATTATGTTTAATACTGGACAAAAAATATCTTTGAATAGATTTGAAATATATCAATACAAACATTTGAAACATAAATGCGATTCGGATGAATATATTTATATCTATAAAATTTTGGTGAGTTAACAAATTTATAAAAACATTTGATAAAATCACATAACTATCACATAGAACAGAACTTTGTTTAAATGTTTTTCTTTATCTTTCATTGTGTATATTGATAATTGAAATATAATGTAGATTGCAATTAAAAATTATATACATTCACTTTAAACAAGGCTAAGACTAAGGAAAGTTAGGTTATTAACTCATGTACACAAAGTGCCCGTAGGATAAAAAAGAAGTCATACAAGAAGTATCAATCTATGATGAAGAAGTGTTATTTTACCTTTTTTTGTAGCTGACAGTAACATGGGTACAGTATTTTGATTCTGTGGTATTGGTCAAAACAATGTTCAAGGATGCTTTATTAAGTTAAAAAAAAGTTATAATCAATGTTAATTGAAATATCTTCATGAATAATCATAACAAATACATTGTATAAGCACAAATTTTCATGATACATATAAATAAGTTATTTGATCACCTTACTCTCTTCTGTTATGAAGCTCAAATACTGGAGGGGTATCTTCATACGATTGTTGAGCTCCCATGGTCACCAGAGGTAACCATGGTCCCGTAAGTAGAGATCAAAATCTTGCTATAGTACTGGATTGTCCACCCACAGTGAGATGGGAAGCTCTGGTCGACACCCGACTGGATCGAGCAAACTTCCATCTGAGGCGATGACAAAACTTTCAGCAGCCTGGGCTCTGTTACCCATGCTCCACGGTAGCATGAGCCCTCATCCTATGCTACATCCGAACTGTTTGTTGCACGCGAGTGTTGGAAGAGCATGAACAAATCAAGAGTAGACGGATCGAGCTTGTACCTGGCTGGCTCCTAAATGCTCTGATTTCCTCCGGGATGTAATTGCATCTTAGCGTTTGGCTCTGATGTCCATTTTCAATCGTTCTGTTGACTTACGTCAGATCATCCGCATCGATCCGCAGTGCTCCATAATGAATAAGCATGGTCATACCAACATGAGACATCCGAGCAGATCCAGTGACGCAGAACGAGCTGTTGTCTTCACCGCCATCATTCTTTTTCTACGCTCTAGACTGATACAGATGGAGATGTATCATCTTCTCTTTCTGATTTCATATCTGATAATTTTACTTCAAAATCATTTGGATCTTTATGTAATTTTTTGAAATTATTGGACCCATACAGTAACTTCATAGCTAAGTACACATATTTTTTTCCAAAAGAAACAAGATTTATTCAATTTAAAATGTCATAGATAGCTAATCTTGAATTTAGTTGTGTTTGAAAACCAATTTTTGGTTGATGTTTCCTCATTTGTTTCTACATTACTTCAAAAAACTAGCCGTACCATGTTGTATAAATTTTCAGATCATATTTGACAATATAGTTTGTCTATAGTTTCCAGTAATCCACGATAGTATTTGCTGATTTCAGCTCACTCTCCAAGAAGCATAGCCTTTTGCAAAACTCATCATCATCTTGTGATTGATTAACCTAAAATTGATAAATTCAATGCAATACTTTTCACTTTGGCGATGTTGAAATAGGGGAAATTGGAACACAAATCCAAATGTAAAACATTTCTTCAAACTTAATGAACCAACCAAAAGTATTGAACCGTTTTTTCTTTGGATTCATCATCCATTTGTCTCACACATTTTTTGTAGTTGCTACACTAACATGGTACAATACTCGCGAGCTAGAGACCTTTCAATGGAATAATCAGTGTTGTTCAA